ACTCTCTATTGGCAACTGAAAATTGATTGTCCCTTATTCTGTAAAAAAAAGAAAAAAATTCAGGCAGAAATACCGTGGCTGTCTTATCCAGCATCTTGATGTTTTCTTAGCACTGAGCAGTTTTAGCGAGAGGTCTTTAAATGTGCAAAAGGACATTCAGTCTACCGGAATTTATATTAGAGCATTTTGTAAACTATGCTGGAAATTCTCTCATAGTTAAATTAGCCAGATTAACCAGACTGAAATTGAAGAACCAGATGGAGGTTACTCTTCAAATGGCAAGGGGCCACCTTTCCATCTTCTTTGATGGCTCAGTATATATCGTTAAGGTATTTGGGAGATTGAAAATAGAATCACAGGGGCTCCTGGGTGGCGCAGTCGGTTAAGCGTCCGACTTCAGCCAGGTCACGATCTCGTGGTCCATGAGTTCAAGCCCTGCATCAGGCTCTGGGCTGATGGCTCAGAGCCTGGAGCCTGTTTCCGATTCTGTGTCTCCCTCTCTCTCTGCCCCTCCCGCATTCATGCTCTGTCTCTCTCTGTCCCAAAAAAAATAAATAAACGTTGAAAAAAAATTTATTAAAAATAAGAAAATAGAATCACAGAACTACGTGACAGGGTAAGAAGTTTGGTAAAGATGCACTTGGCCATTGTTTATATAAACTCTATGATGTTAACACTTCCTGCAAGGGAGAGTCATATTTTAGGTATGCATATACGAGGTGGAAAAGGTTATCCTGGAGGGGTCCGGTCATGCATCCACAGAGAGCTTCAGCTCTGGAGTCAGATGGCCCGCGTTGGAGTCTCACCTCCGTCACATTATGTGTGGTGTTGGGCAGGCGATGTAACTTCCTTGCAACTGTTTCTCCAACTGTAAAAAGTCGTATAAAATTCGTGGAACAGCGTCTTAACACATTATGACTGTATTAGTTATCTACTGCTGTGTTATAAATTACCCTGCAACTTGGGCGTTTTAAATAACAAATACTTACTATCTCACAGTTTCTGTGAGTAGGAGCCAAGGCACATCTTTGATCCGTGTCTGTGGCTTGGGGCCCCCATAAGGTTGCAGTCAAGCCATTAATTAGCCCAGTCTGCAGCCTCATCTGAAGGATGGGGTGGGGCTGAGGTTGGGATCTGCCTCCAAGCTCATTCGTACAGATGCTACCAGACCACAAGGGCCCCTCCACAGGCTGGCCTCACAGCCTGGCATTGGTGGGTGACCCAGGAGAGAATGTGTGAGGACATTCAAGATGGATGCCAGTCGTGTAGTCACCTAATCTTGGAAATGGCACCTGTTGCCTTTGCCAGCCTCTGCTTGCTAGACGAGAGTGACTCAATCCAGTCCATACTCAAGGGGAGGGTATTTTAGACTTCTGTATCCTACCATCTACTTGGTATCTAAGGATGTCTAATAGGCATCTTAAACCTAACATGCAAAAATGGAGTCCCCAGCACCTGCTTTTCCCACGATCTTTTCTGTTTGGTGAATGGCAACTCTGTTCTTAGAGATGATCTGGTCAAAAATTTGAACTATCCTCCTTAACTCTTTTCTTGCTCTTATACCCCTTGTCCACTTGACTTTCAAAATATATCCAGGATCTCACCAGTTCTCACTACCTCCTCCCCCAGTCCACGTGTTGGGTGTCTCCCCTGAATTTTTGCAGTAGCCGACCTGGGCTCCCTGTTTTCAGCATTGTCCCCTTCGGTCCTGTTCTTCACAGCACACGGAATGATCCCTTAAACATAAGGAAGATCATTAGACTACTCCATTCACAATTCTCTAGTGTGTTCTCCTGTCACTCGGAGTAAAAAGCCAACGTCTATGCAATGGCCTACAAGGCCTCTTGTGATTATAAAATTATTTTTCTGTATTTAATTGTATAAAATGATGTTTGTATAATAAATACCCATATACATATGTATGTGAAAGCATGTATTTGTATGTTTAATTGCTTAATTTATCTGGAATCTGTTTTCTGAATCATGTAAGATGGGGATCTGACTCTTTCCAAATAATGAGCTAATTTTCCTGTCACTGTATATTGAACAGAACACCCATTCCTCACTGGCATGGTATTCCACCACGAACCTGGTAGTTTTTTTCCCCATGCAGTCTAATTGTTGAATTTTAGAACAGCGATATTCCTAACAGGTCCTATAAGATACAATTTAGAGATTTCATTTGATGTGGGATACTCAAATACATGTAAAAACAACTTGAATTCTAGTTGGGAATTAATTATGGAGAACAGTTACTTGTGTCCCTTTATATGAGAGATAAGGAACGAATTCTACCTGGGAGATTGTGACTTAAATTGAAAAATCCAGTTAGCTGCAAAACTCAGATGAAAAGAAAGGGGAAAAAAAAATCCTCATTGCTTTTAGGCCACTGTTTCTGACACGTGTTGATATACTTTGCTGTCGCTGCTTAGAGCTGTTGAGAAAATTATCACAAAAATGCTTATCGAATTTCAGACCCTGTAAGGATATCATCTGGATTGAGATCCTTGTTTATCCAGGCAACTTTCAGCATGCAGGCGTATCTGTGAATGCTGTAGTCCCCTGGTGTTCTTTTCTTCTGTCTAGACTTTTGGTCTTATCTCTGTTTATAGCTTCGACTGGCCAACAAGAATGGGTATGCAAAGGAGATTAAACTGTTTTGGTGGTTGGTTGTTTTGTGGTGTTTTGTTGGTTATTGGCATTAGCGGCCCTGCTGGAGAGTTTGCTGGAAGATGGAAGTAGGTTGAAATTCTCGCTTGGAAGGAAGTGGATAGAATGTTCAGTGGTTTCCTTTTGACAAAAACGGTCTCATACCTGGTGCACGGTGTGTCATTGAGGGTCGACTATAAATCACAAAACGAATCGCTTCAACTCCTTCACATCTACAGAGATAAGAGTGGGAAATCGTGTCACTGAGACCCGTCCTTGTCCCTCCCTTTTTCCTCCTCCTCCACAAGACGTGTGACTTGCCCCGTGTGGACTTGCCCCTTGACTCTGGCAGCCAAGGAAGGGCCCTGAGCTAATGAGGGAGCCGTGCTTCCTCTCCTGGATGATTTTACTACCACCTGGTGCCAAGATAGAATCCAGAAGCGAATGTCTTTCTTTAGGCAGAAACAGCACAGAGAAAGAGAGAGAAAGAGGGCTTCTGGTAAACTTTGAACCAACACCATACGTGGCAGTCAGTGAGCAGTGGGCACGAGTGATTCCACCCAGAGTCTGGTCAAGGCGCAGATGAACCTGCTGTGTGCCCGGCCTCCCTGGGCCAGCAGCTTCCTTTGCGGAAGAATCTTGAACTCGACGACAGAGACCCCTCCAGGTCGAAACCACCGAGCTGGAGAGCTGGTAACAAATGAAAGAAAGGCAGTAATTTATTTTTAGTAAAAGAAGATTGATACCAATAACTCGCAGTGGGCTTGCCTAAATCCTCCTCTTCCCTTTCAAATTCTGTTTTTACCCACACGGTAAGCTCAAGACAGTTTGTCGTGCTCTGAACTTCCTGGCTTGTGTTGATTTGTTAGCAATATGTTGCTGTTACACATTTGAGTGGGAGCTGAGTTACATTGCATGAAAAAGCTGCTCTAGAGGCTAATAAAAATCGTGACAACCCCACTTTCGGTGGGTATTGATAGCATCAAGAAAATAAAAAAGACTTTGCCATTTTCAGGCAGTCACTCTTCCAACTAGACTGAAAATATAATGGGCTTCAACTCAACTCGCTCGTTTAAACATTACCCCAGAGCAGCTTTCTCTTCCTCCTCAAAAGTTCTGAGTGCCTACACGAATTTAACCACAGACAGACACAACCCCCTCCCCCCAAAAGGTCTTTTCGAACACGTTGAGTATTTTATCAAGCAATGGCTTCAGAAGGCTCTCAAGGAATCGGTAATTCACGCAGTCACCTTGTGAGACAGGAAAGTATATATCCGCTCTCTTACAGCTGGGTCATTGGATAGTGACCTGGCAGTGGCCGCAGGACCTTTGCAAACACGTGGAGTTTGGAGTCACAAGTGGGTTGCAGTCATCCTGGTGAGAGAACTGGATGGTGGTCTTGCTGTGTGTTTGCAAAACAGATGAGGAGGAGCTCCTAAAGGGCTGGAAAAGGCTGCAGACGGTTTTGGAAGGCCGTTTCCAGGCTCAAATGGCCAACGTCAAAAACAAACAGCAGTGGGGGGGACTTGTTAGAGCATGGGAAGAGCTCGAACAAAACCCCGTGACAGGTGACTGTTACAAGTCACAAGGCAGAAGAGGACTCTCCGAAGCCACCTTGTCACACACGGCTCTCATGTGTATGCTTTGTTGGCACCTCTGAGGAGGGGTAGAGAGGCACGCGCATTTTAACCATTCGTTTCATATTTAGCGTGTAAAGTAAATGCCGCTTTCCAGCTTGGGCGGGGGGCAGTTCTTGATCAAGTCGTATCGAGACTCGGCATGAACACCCATCGATTAAACTACCTGTTTCCGGTGCAAAGTAGAAAGTTTCCTCTTTCTGACCCTGTCTCTTTTTTGTTGTTGTTGTTCAGTCCTAACCGCCCTGTGTTTAAAGATGTTAATGTTGTCTCAGGGAGTCTGAGTCTTTAGTGGGCAGAATCAGATGACTTTTGATTTGACACGAAACTTCCTCCCCTTTCTATCCTTGATAACTGCCCATCAGTTATCTCTAACTATTAAACGTAAGGAATCCTTCTTTATATATTTATTTCAGTTAGCAAACTTGAAATTCTGCAAGCACGTTGCCGGTGGTTTATATCCCAGCTTTCAGAATACGCTACCTATCCGACAGGTGTTCCGTTTTCTTTCCCCCTTTCTCCCTTCCCACCTCTAGTATTTCAGGGTACCATATATAGATCAGTCGTGTGATAGCTTCGTTCTGATCATGAACATGCTTGTTTGAGGTTATAAAGAATACATCTGAGAGAGGTCAGGGATTTCCCCCTGAATATCAACTAACTGCTTGAAGTGGCATTTTTCATTCTGACTTGTTTTGTTTTCTTTTCCTGTAGCATACTGGAGCAAAATGAAAGAGTTTATTCTGAGACCTCTGATGCACTGCTTCCCCAGGCCATGAGGAAGAAAGAGTGGACTTCAGCCTGTATGCATGGTCTTGAAACACGAATGGTTGTGGGTAAGTCTCCCAAAGGACTTGGCATTCGTTAGCTTTAGATGTCATCAACCATCGTTTATTCGGTGGCTCAGGACATTTTTTTTAAGGGCATGGCTGTTCCTCCACAACCCAAGCAACAGGATGTTTGAGAGACTGTTGATGAAGAGTCCAGAGAGCAACTAAATTTACTCAGTGTGTTTCTGAAATTTGCAGAGTAGTGGGATCTGAGGACAATGCATTTGCGGTTAGAGAAGACCGAAACAAACAGACAAACAAACAAACAACTGTACACACAAACAACCAACAGACTACACCTTCCAGACATTCCTTTTAGCTGAGAGCATAAGGAATTAAGCACACCCGCGACCCTCGATTCACTCTGAAGGCAGATTTGTTACCCCGTAGTGGAGTATCGGGATGGGCAAAGTGAGAAGTGCTGGGAGTTTCCGTCTTGCTCAGTAAATAATTACTGAGCACCTTTTAAAACCCGTACGTAGAGCCCTGAATGACAGCCTTGGTCTGGAGGTAGAATTCAAATGCTCCAAACTGTTAGCAAACAACAGATAAGTTCCCAACGACACAAAAATATTGTCGTTTTTCCAAGGAAGGTTGATCAGCCTCGTTGGTTGTAGTTCTTGGGCACGGTCCTCACACGGAAGCTACTTCTGCACATCTCTCTTGGTGACCTTGGACAACTTACTCGTCCTCGTGGAATGAGTCACCTGTAAAAATGCCAGTGCACGCCTTCATGGTCTCTTGCAGCTCTAAAATCCCACAGCTGACTCTAGTGAAATTAATGAAATAATTAGACCCTTGGGTTCTCGCTCAGCCAAATCAGTTGTGAGCCCTTGGCAAGTGATCTTTGGCAGGGGTGGTGCTCGCTGGACGGGCCAGTGTGGAGAAGAGGGGCCAGGCACTTGGTGGAGGGAGGGCCCTTCTCCCTCCTTCTCCCTACGATCTTGCGAACCAACCCTTTGGTCAGAGAGGCCTTGCGGCGTCTGTGGTTAGTAATGTCTTGCGGCATTAAAGACAACGTGGCACGTTGTTATATGAATGTAATGCAATGTGATATAATACGGTATAGTATGATGTAATATCGTCCTTTATTTTTCTGTCGTGGATCTCCCTCTTCCTTCTCTGTTAGCTGTCACTATCTTATGGGTTATCTGCCAGTCTCTGAACCCCACGAAGCCCCAAACTTTGTCTTACGCTGGACAGGATTGATTATTTTTCTTTCTTACTGAACACCCCTGTTCTGAACAGAGCTCTGAATGACACTTCAAATGATGCTCACATATCACTCTTGTTAGCAGCCTGCTGTCTGCTTCAGAGTGGTGCATTATTTGGGTTTCATAACAGCATTTTTTCCCCCCTCTGACAAATGTTAAATTACGAAGTGCAGGAAACCACATGAATGTGGTGGGATGAAAATGCGAACACAGTGTTATCTGGAAACGCCAGTGTTATGATTCTTTCTCCTGGTGACAGTCTCCTCCCTGCACTCAACGTATAAAGCCTATTTACCTGCTTGGTGGCCGCCTTCTAACTCCTGTCTTTCTCTTCACTAATACTGTGTGCCACGGTCCCCGTGTCACACTGAGTCGGGAAGTTTGTTTAAGATGACTTCCTGGGGCTGTCTCTTTCTCTCCAGGTCCTGCCTGACCACTGAGCCCGGCTCACATTCACAAAGCCTTCCCAGAATGCTCTGGCCTCTATGAGCTCCTATAACATTTAGAACTTGCACCATAAAAAAAAAAAATATGTATGGCTACCTATTGCTTTGTGGGTGTTTGCTGCCACCCCATCTGGGTTGCAGGCTGCTGGAGGGCAGGGATCACATCCGAGCCCACAGTTCCTCAAAGGTGGTCTAGCCCCAGGACCTCCTGCAGCAGAATCACCTGGGCATACAAAGCAGCAGATTCAGCAACACCAGGCTCGATGAGTCAGAATTTCTGGGGATGTCGAGCCCGGGAAACTCACCGCAGACAACTCTTGAGCGCACAGAGGTTTGTGAAAACTGCCTGAGCTTACCTCTTCATCCTCCCCTGTACCTACCTCCTCACGCACGTATAGGGTCTAGATCTGAGCGCATCACAGATACCCAGGACATATTTGCTTGCTGATCTAAACAGCATCCTGCTGTGATGGTTGCACTCGCTCTTCAGTCGCCCTAGCCTTTTTGGGATGTGAAGTCTGCATATTCTCTGAACCCTTAGAAACCTCGTTTTGGCTAAATGTGTAGTCCCCTAGGTTGGAGGCTCTTCCGGAAGCCTTCTTTTTATATCTCCTCTTCACGCAGTGACCCTGCCTGTCCCTATTCATGGAGCAGCCCCTGCCCACGTGCAGCCCAGCAGTAACGTCAACTCTGGGGACAGGGACCGGAGTGTCAGGGCAGGAGACAGAGCTGAGGTGGGAGCAGCGCTGGGCTGACCTTGATTGCTTTATCCTCGGATCCCAAGGCCATGCCTGCTGCCCTTGGCAGTATGTTTTGAATGCTATTTCTTTCAGCTGTTAGGGCTCGGAGGTTGTCCACTTTGGTGGCAGGAGAGCGATCCCATTGCTGAAAGCAATAAATTTAAGCTGCAGTGGACAGACATCAAAGCAGCCCCGATGCCAGCAGCAGATTCAGAATTTGAATCTGATGACAACAGACCGCGTGGTGACACGGGCCCCCTCCTTCCCTCCTCCGCTTGCTCCAGCAAGGGCGAGCCTGGCAGAGGAGATTGGCTTCTAGTGCAACTCCTGATGCCCTTGCTGGTGGGTCCGGCCCTGGGACGAGATCTGACAGAAACCCAACCAAAGAGCTCTTGGAAGCCCAGCCAGCCTGTAAGGGAACCAGTGGGCTAATCGGGAAATGTACCAGCCGTGAACACAATCACTACGGGAGCGCCTGGGTGGCTCAGTGGGTTGAGCGTCCGACTTCGTCTCAGGTCATGATCTCGCAATTGACGAGTTCGAGCCCCACATCAGGCTCTGTGCTGACAGCTCGGAGCCTGGAGCCTGCTTCCGATTCTGTGTCTCCCTCTGTCTCTGCCCATTCCCTGCTCATGCTGTTTCTCTCTATCTCAAAAATAAATAAAACATTAAACAAAATTTAACACAACCACTACCATTAAACATTTTTTTTAACATTTTCTCTAATATGTTTTAAGGTTTATTTACTTATCTTGAGAGGGGGTGTAGAGAGGGAGGGAGAGAAGAATCTCAAGAAGGCTCCACGCTGTCAGCGCAGAGCCCGACGTGAGGCTTGAACTCACAAACTGTGAGATCGTGACCTGAGCCGAGATCAAGAGTCGGACGCTCAACCGACTGAGCCACCCAGGTGCCCCAAACCTTTTTTTTTTTTTTTTTTTGCAACTTTTTGTATGTTTTCACTCTTGCTTAGTCACACACAGTGTTACTTAAGAGAAGTTGTGCCAGTCTTGAATTACGTTTGTGTTGCAAGGCACATTCAGGCGCAGTGACAGGAAGCGTCTTCTCCCACGTGTCCGAATAATTTTGCCGATGGGGGGTTTGGAGAGCAAGAAGGTATAACAGAATGGGTTGGGAATGGGGTTTTCTCCTCATTTTCAGCTAAGGGGAGAAAAGAGAGCCCAGGTTTCCGAAGCAATGCTGAGAGCAAAAGAGGCTTTGGCTCACGTGCTTGGTCGAAATCTGCCTAGATGTCCTCTCTGTAGCCTCTTCCGGTTCAGTGGGGGTGAAGCCTGCCTCTGTGATGCAGGAGCCAGGTGCACAGGCCGTCGGTCACGGGACAGAAACATACAGGTGTTGACATCAGTGTCTTGAGACTTCATTAAAGGTTTTAAAGTGGAGGAATGACAGGGGGCAAAATTAAAGAAATTATAAGGCATACAATTTTAGTGAACTACCAAAGGCATTGCTATTTTGGAGGTCCTTAACAGTGCGTGGAATTTTTCCTGATGAGTAGTCATCCATGGTTGGGAAAGAGGAGCGCTGGTTCTAAAAGAACGTTTGACTGCATCACTTGTGTTGTTTACCACGAGGCATTCTCGAGAACTGCAGATTTTCCAAATGGCTTCCTCAATCATCGGCGCTGCGTTTGCAAGGCAGATGTAAATAGGGAACAGTCAGTCCAGTACCCTCCCTGAAGACCATCACTGGAAAGCTCTTTAAAGGCTTTCTAGCCTAGAGAAGTTAGACAGCCGTCATGCACCCAAGCTGATGTTCTCTGTAAAGCAGTACTAAGCGTGCCTTCCGGGTGATGTGTTATAACCCTCTCTTCTTGCTGATAACTATCATGGGCTCATTGTACCAGTCCTTCAGAGAAGCGATGTGGTTTTGTATAACTGAGTGAAACCACACCAGTTCAGGAAATGCAGTGAATTGCCTTATAATAGGCATCATCAAAACAGATGGTGATTAACTTGGAAGGTACCCTTCCTTGGTGACAGTTTGAAAGCTTTGAAAGGAGGTGTTTGCGGTGCATCAAAAGAAATTAGGATTAGGCTGCCACATTTGCACACGGTTGGCGTGAAAACTGAAAAGAAACTCATCAGAGTTCCTTACCGCACATGCTTTCCCTGAAGGCATCATCACATCGTGGCTTCATTATCCATTCCACTCTAATGACTAACGTGGCTCTCTCTTCCTCCCTGGAGTTTAAGACCATTGGCTTCCAACTTCCTCCCAGATGGCTCTGGTTGGGTGTCATAGGTACCTCCAACTTGAGTCTACACCCCCTCCTGTCTCTGCCCCGTCTCCCTTTATGGGTTCCTTGTTTTTAAAGAAACAGGATCAGCGACCAGCCAGTCATTGATTCTGGACACCATCTCCTCCTCCAGCGCTTTGGCCCTTGACCACCTGCTAGAGTTTTACCTCTTGCTTATCACTTCACGGTCTTCCCACTCTTCCACATTCCTCTGCTCTTGTTCTGTTGCTGTCGTTACCATCCCTGGCCCGACCGCTGCAGGCACTGCCCAGAGACGACATTTGCCTTAGGTCTTTCTTCCTGTGTCCCATTCATCCTACTGTTTTGAGACTTTCCTTCCCAAAGATAAGGG